GTAACAGAAGCAATAATCTTCCACTTGTTTTGTGCTTCTATGAGATGGCAGATCAAGTGTATTTTGTATTCATATGCATACGAAGCAACAAAGATCAGCTCTCAGTAATTTTTAACGGAGTGACTATCTGCCATGCTAAATGACATGCATTCTACCCTCATATGTTTATAATACTGAAATCTGGTGGGATTCTCCCTGCATCGTCGTATCACAGAACTGACCATAATTTCTGCCTTAACACTTACGACTTGCTATGAAAGATTACAAATGCACAGAGCAAAAAGAGACACTTAACTGCCTCTGAGACACTTAGGTTCTGGGATGTACGATAAATTTTTAGAACTACACAGGAATTTGAGATGTAGCGTCTGTATCTTCAAAGTTTCTTTAGGAACAGCTCTCTGCCATACCTCTGCATGGAACAAAAATCCGCGGCTTTGTTTTGATTACTGAGGCTCTTAAATACCTCTAATCATTGATGCTTCCATGCCTTGCACATAAGCAACATTACTAGAAACACCAACCATTAGAGGGATGATCACCATATACTATTCTTCTGTCCTTTTTTCTCAAAATCCACATTGATCTGACACTGCAAATTGTGGTCAATGGTCAGAATATGGACAATCTTCAGACACAGGATAATACATACAATTTGGGAACTGTTGGTAATAAGTTAAAAATTTTAACTGTAATTCTAAATATCCCTTAAATGTAGAATATTAAGTATATAAATATGATATCTATCTACAAAAAACTGTTAGTCTTTCAAGTAGCTTCCTGATTATACACGCAAAATAAAGTATATCTCCACTGCTGTAGATGGCTATTTGTGACAGCTCCATCTGTAACAAGACAACAGTATCTATCTTCATTTCAAATGCTAGTTCAACTCACCTACAGCTACAGAATGTTCTTCCACTTTTATGCAATCCCATGGACTTCTGCGATAAAAGGAATATATTCCCAAAACCACAATTTATTTTAGTTTCTTCAGGATTATGCGATAAAACCTTTCCATTTGTTTGCTTCTACTACTGTCAGGTACAAACTATCTTCAAATAGTTATTTTTAATTCAGATGCTGGAAAAGACTTATTGTGACTAATGATATTCAGCCAAAATATGGTTTATTCTCTTGCTTGTATACTTAATGCATGGTTTTACTATCACTTTTACTACTTTCAGATTTTACCTCACCTTTCATAGCTAGTAAGTTGTGAGAGAGCTCTCACAATGTTCTATTTTGATTTCTTGACAGCAGACTTCACATTCTGATTGCTGTTACCTTACTGTATTTTTGATAGTCATACAGAATTTATGGAACTACACACTAAACAAGCATTCAGTATTATAAACATGAACATTCTAGATAAACTAGTGGATTAACACAATTCCTTTTAGAATAAAGAAAAACAGAGTATGACTGCACTCCCTACCACCTTGGGAGAAAGGAGAGAGAAAGAGAAAGGCTCTGCAGCAATCTTGAAGTCATGTATCCAGGACTCTTACGGATCCTGGAGCACAAAGCAAGAAAAGCAGAAGGAACAGTAACAGGATCTACTTCTCATGAAAAGAACGAAGATTTTGTTCTTCTAAGCCTTTAATGGTACAGAACAATAGCAGATTAAAATAATATGTTCTATTACTTCAGAGAAAAGGCAGCTGGGGTATATGAGTGCTAGCACAGGTAACTTTAAAGACAGCCTGACTACCTATTACTGGGTAAAAAAAAAAATATGCTTGACTGAAACCTACAGTTTAAAAGATTAAGAGAGATTTGACTGTGAATTACGTCAGTGCCAACAGACCAGATCTAACACAGACCTTCCGAAGTCAAATTAAGGAAAGAGACCATCCTCAAGATAAACATCTTTTCTTATCCTGAAGTTCAAGTCTTACACTTTTTATAATCAACTTAAATCGAAGTTTACTTATTCGTGAGTTACTTGTGTTCTTAAATAAGATGTTCTACATACCTTCAAAGTTCTCTTTTGAGGAACAAAACTCCCTGTCTCCCATCCCTTCTACCTTGGCTCTCCAAGATCATCTTCCCATGCAACCTCTCTCACTTTGAAGGAAAAGTCCTCACAGGTTTTGCAGTCTGCTCCAGTTTTAAGCAGTTTCTACAACTCAAGTTTGACTCTCCATGCTTCAGCAATAAAGGAAGGACTAAAAAACCTAATTTATACTCCTTTTACATACTGCAGGTAGAAAACCAGGAAGACTTCTTTTATATTGTTTTCCAGCAACTTATTTTTGCTGTTACTTATATTCGAATAATTTCCATAAAGTAGCTATTGAAACTAAAGAACTTAACGTTGGATGTAAAAGTTCATGGGAATTGAATTTAGTGAAGTCAAAACGTAATTACATGACTAACGAACAGCAAGAAATAAACAAAATGTCAATGTTCTTACAAGAGGTTATCTTAATTAATTACTTTTGCTAATTATTTATTCGTTTTTTCTTATTATTTATTATAACATTATTACACTTGTCATTCTAGATTCATATCTAGCAGGAAGCAAAAATGCTTCACTCAATCTTCAGCAAAGATTTGCAGAAAAAGTTGTATTTCCCAACTTACAACTCATCCACTTTGCTAGTTTTTAGGTGTTCTTTCCCAGAGATATTAGTTATTTCTTGAAGAACATATTTAAACTTTATTAACTCAGAAATGCATTATTATAGACAGATTGTAGAGCAAAATTGCAGAGCAGGAAAACACACAGTTGGCACAGGTGAACTGAACAGCACAAAAGGTATTTTACTTCCGTCCCAAAGAGACCTATCCATGAAATGAAAGGAAGAGATCCTTTCTTGATCACTCCTACTTAGACAAATTGAATAAATGTGTCTAAAAAGGGACATAAATATTGTCAGGACATTATTCAGGAGCCTTCATGATGCTATCAAATAAAGCTTCAATAGAGATACACTGTAAAAAAACAAGCTTCTAATCAAGAATGTGATCATTGACACCCAGAGCAAACGGAAACAGCTACCCAATTTCTGAAAAACAGTTAAAACAACGATGCTAGAAATCAACATCAGTGAGAAATTCCAGCTGACAAAAGTTCTGTTTTTCTTTCAGGAACTACCCGGTTACACTTAACATTCCTGTATTTAATTCCATAGTTTTATTTGATGGAAATTTAAACTGTTCAGCTGTATTTTTAATATTATATATAATGCTACTTTAATCTGTTGAAAAACTTTATTATACTTCATTTGAAATCAGCATTCTCTTTATAACACCGTTAGTTGCTCTGACAGGGAATGTCTTCTTTTAAACTGACGGCAAACAAGTGAAAACTGACCAGCAAAGACCGATGGCCAGAAAAGCAACAATGATCGTGTTTTTCACAAATGTTTTTTTAAATAAAAATAAAATAATGAAGAAAGGAAAATAGTAGCAGTAACATCGTAAGCAGACCATATTTGAAAGTTGTCAATGAAGCTCTGACAGCTTTTTCAGCACAAAAATTCAAAGCTCCACATTTAAGAATAGGCAGCCATCTAGGAATTATTTCTAGATTAGTGCCTCCACGTCAAAGAAAGAACAGGAAGAAAAGGAAGAGGCAGCCTTCTCCATAATTATTGATGGTTTTCCTCCTACTTAAATCTCCAAAAGAATTGATACCACTGTTGCTTCTGAGTGAAAAATAGATACCTTAGAAAAACTGACTGACAAGTGGATCAAGAGAGGTTAATTTGTAACAGTTGCAGTCCCAGAAACTCTAAATAATGAGATGTAAGTTACATGAATACTATGAGACCCACAAACTAGTTTTGAACGCAGGTGGATCAACAGACTCTTATTCAAAGTACTCTCAGTTTTCTTTCATTTATATTTAGTTTATTATTGCTGTCAGCCATTGCCATTAAATAAGGACCTTTCTGCAGTATTCTTGAGTATTTTTGACCAACTTTTCTGTTAATAAAGGATATTATAATGCAAATGTCTTAGAACTGAAAAGGCCTCACTTTTACTGGTTGGCCTAGTTTGATTTCCCAGTGCAAAAATTCTTTGGCATCTCTGCTAATGGCTTAATTAAATACAGTACACCAACCACATTGGAAGAAATTCTTTTAGCCGCTGCGGATGTTCAACACTCTGGAATGACACAGTCTTCTGTCTACAATTTCTATAGTGATTGCTAATATGTTTGTAAAGACTAAACTGTACATTCACCAATTACTTATTCTGTGCTTGTGTTTATTTTAAGAATCACTCTAGGAAACGGCAAATGTTTATTACAACGCAAACAACAAAGCAGTTGCAGATAATCAGAGTAGATTAAAACCACTGCATAATAAGAACAAAAACGTGGAAGCTGTACCTGAATTTATTCCAGATTTGTATGTATTCCAAATGTAATTAAACAAGATGCATGACAATCAAAAAGCATAAAATGTATTTGTTGCTGCAAATGAGCACTCTCGGTAAAACGCAGTTTTACATTTCAGACATTAAGCATAGACAATATGACTATTACTTTAACTCATTATAGCAACTTCATGTGTCCACTCAAAAAACCAAAATCAATCTGAAAACTGATTTATGTTTGACTTTCTATGTCACAGAGATGCTGGTATGTACTGTGGCAACTGGATTTTTGTTAACTGGATCCAGGACAAACTGAAGTTTTTTCAAGCCTCAAATCAGAAAAACATGGCACAGAATTTGATTTCAAGCACCCAGTCTTTACTCTTACCATCTCTCTCAGAAAAATCCCACAAAGGGTGCTCTGCTGCTTAATTCCCAACTCTTCCAGGGCTGGCGAATGTTAAAAAAAACCCCCAAACAACCCACAACAAAAACCAAAAGACAAAAGTAATTTATTAAACCTCCGTTTGTGCCTCCTCCTCCCATCCTCAGTGGCTTTGATCATACATGGTGGCCACTAATAGAAAAACAAGTTCGTTAGGGCTTTTTAAGATGAAAAATGAGGATAAAAACAGTAAAAAAAACATTTCCCAAACACTTCTCTTTACCTTGGCACTACAGACCGCTACATTAGCGGGGAGCTGGGAAAACTGCTTCAACTCAAATACGTCTCGCACTGCCCACCGGCTCAAGCGATTCTCAGCCTTGCTGGATCCAACCACGTTCTGGTTTGAATGAATATATGCCACTTCTTGAACACCATCTGATATATTGGAAGAAAGGTATAATCAAAGATTTGTTCCAAAACCCTGAAGGTACACAATTACACTGAAGTAGTATATCATAATTTTCAAAAGTTTTACATGAAAGTTGTAAAGCTTCTTAGGATTTCACTCAGCATCAAGTTTCTCAGCTCTATGAAATGAACAACAATCACTAGACTTATTCAGATTTATCCAGACAGTTTAATATTGTTTCCATTTCGGTGTGTTTTTTTTCAGATGGATAAAGGAGAAGTTTCAAATCATCTATGATTTCATGGCTGCAATATTAATGTCTAAAGTCTCATCTCTAACAATCAGATCTTCTACATGGTATTTCAAACTCCCAAATCACACAGATACTTATGCGCATGAAAAAGAACTTAACAGCTCTGTCAAGACTTAAGGTTTTACTGTTCAAATATTTAGATTCGTGAATTTTTAATAAATCTTCAATCTTTGCATCTTTCAACAGACATTGAGCATTTAACAAAACATTACAGAGCAACCCATCACCTCAGAAAACAGGAAAGTAAGGTTAATAGGTAGAGACACAGAAAGACATTACTAAATAATTTTGCTGAGTATTTATTAGTATCTTGTAACAAAAACATGTATAGCAGGAGGAACTTAAAATCTGCCAATAAAAACAAACTAAACATGTTATTTCTTTAGTTGAAAAAAAAAAACAGAGAAATTAAATAATTAGTTACCTAAATATCTGTCCATTGATTCCACTTTTTGCTCTTGATGTTGAAACTCAGTATTACTTGCAGAAGTTCTACGCACAGCATAATTGCCAGACTTCATTTCTGCAGCAGAGGTATCTTGGATACGATGAAGCATGTCAGATCCAAACCGAACTTTGTGTCTCTGTCTGTTACACTTAGAGCTTTCCTTTCTGCTATTAATTTTCTCAACTGGTAAGTTATCTTCAGAGGATGAAAATTCATCTATATTCTGAGAATCACTTTCCTTTTCTTTCCTATTGGGCTTCTTTGACTGTAGCAGAGATTTGGAGAAGCTGCCTAGTCCATTGTTATGGGTGTGTCTTTCTTTCCATTTCAAAAAGCTCGAAGTTCTTAACTTTCCTGATTCAGAATTATGGGAAATTTCAATATCATCAGACTCATCACTTATGTCACTTGCCCCTTTCAAATCTCTTGTGCCGTTCTTGATGTCTTCAAAAGACGTGACTTTGCTGAAATTTGACTCAGTTCTATGCAATCCAGGTTGCCTACTGTCTCCCTTAAATACCAATCCATCTTTTTCTTTTGCTAACTCTTCACAATTTTCAGATGCTGACTCGTAAATTTCAAGTTTTTTAGTAAGCATTGGTTCTTGGTATGCTGGAACTTGGGTAGGAAAGATGACATCATCATTCTCTTCAGAACTCTGTTCAGTTTCAAAGACTACATCACCTTGCTCTGAAACGCACTGATCCTCACTTTCTCTGTCCCCTTCCTCCTCAGAGTCTGACAAAACACGCCAGTCTGTACTACGCGTATCTTGTTTACCCCTTCCACCTGGTGACTGAGCAGCTTTCCCACCCTCCAAAACATGCGCATGGCTTTGACGTTTCTGAAAATCACTACGCTCACTATGCATATTTGTTCTTACGACCTGATCATCAGCATTTGAATGATGAGAGTTATAACTAGTATACTCTTCTTTGGTAGTTTCAATTTCTCTCTGCAACAACTTAGAGAATCCACACTGCATTAAGGAAAGCTGTCCCTTTGTTACCATTAAATTATTTGCATTGCAAGGCTTCCTTCTGTCAGATTTTTTCACAGAAGTTTCCAGAACATCATCATCACTAAAGTCATCACAAAAATCCATTTCTTCTCTCTTTAATTGTACTTGAATGTTTCTAGGCTCTCTTGCTTCTTTACAGTCTGGTTGTTCATACTAAAAATAAATTAAAGCAAAGGTATTTGAAACGTAAATAACAGACTGAAAATACATCATTCCAAAGCCATGTAAAAATGTCGATTTTCACTATGTTACTCAATCAAAAAGTATACAAAATAGTATTACAATACACAATGAGAAAGCATACACAAACCAAATCAGAAAGAGAAGTTATATGAACCTCTTTGGTAGATCGTATTTCTTAGCAGAACAACAACAAAGATAACCAAATACATATATTTGAGACTATATATGCTGCACACTGCTAGAACAAGCTATGTCTTCACAATTCACATCCCTATTTTTCTAGTTTATACTGATCTTACTGCAACTTTTCATCATTCTAAGGCAGTCTGAAAAGCAACTTCAAACCTTAATAGTGTGTAGTGACATTCATCAAAAAACACAATCTCCCAGCAGTGGTCAACCTCGTTGTAGATGGGGGCTAACTCAGTTTATAAGAGCTATGAATACATAACATTCTGCTCTTAAAATTAGTTAAGTCCTACTGACATCAAACAAAAATTACCTCCAGGCAACCTTAAAACATTTTGAAGCTACAGAAGTCCAGAATACAACTCCAGAACTGGGTACTATGGAGATAAGAATTATGAGAATACGTAAATGGAAAGTCAGAGGGGTAAATACTAAACTTTTATACATGAAGAGAAATTTTAAAATTAATATATTAATCCTGATATCACCCTCATCAAAAAAACATTTAACACAAGCTAAAAAGTTGTCATTTGTCTCAAAATCTACTGAGAGATCCTGACCATACAGTGATGTATTAGCAATGTGAGGTTATCATCAATGTGATGGCATACTGATTTAAATTAGTACAGATATTTACCCACAGAAATCTCAAAAAAAGCATGAGATAGTGGCTAATTTTCAGTACCTTTCAGTGTGATCTAATCCAATGGTATTTTCATGCTTAGAGGCCATATAGTAGACCTATCTGACTGTTTCTGAAATTATCTGAACACAATGTTCAGTCAAAAACATTTATAAAAATGCTCCCTTTAAACTCAGCCTTTACAGGAAAAAAAAAAAAA